AAGCTCTTCATGGCACGGGACTGAGTTACCTAAGAGACTGTCTTCTCTCAGCTGTCTCTAACTCTCCAATCTGGTCCCACAGGTTGGGCATGCTAGGGTTCCCATCAGCCAAGGAATGCTAACTAGTGGGGACTAGGAAGTGTTTTCTCTGTTGCAGTCCATTCTCCCTCTAGATCAGTGGTTCCCAACCTTTTCTATACCCTGCACCTCTAGAACGCTTCTGATATATTCTCCCAACCCTTTCAAAAGTTCAAAATAATGGCAACAAATTATGCATATTCGCTATAATTTTGAAACTTCTAAACTCAAGTTTCCGCACCCCTTGGAATATCACCATGCATCCCCAGCTGGGAACCCCCGTTCTAGAGCTTAGGATGCCCCCAATCTTGCTGGCCTTTCTTAAGGTCTTGAAGACCTGATCACATGCCCAGACCTGAGCTTGAGTGCGGTAAGGACTCCATTTCTTAGTTATATCTGTATTTTTCTTAGCTTATATAGACATAGACACACAGAGATATTTGCTTTTTAACTGATTTTATCATTTTCAACAACCAGATTAACTTTTCTAAGAAGAGCAGCTATAGAAATGGAATAAATAAATGAAAAATTCTAGCACACATCTTATTCTCCAGTGCAGCTTTGACTTGGAAAAATCAGTCACGTTTCGATATTTTCTTTTATCAAGTGAGCTGCTGAGAGTCACCAGATCACGGTGGAATATTAATACCATCAATCAGGCAGTGTCAGGGAGAGAGTTTCTATACCATTTGTTTAGTCATTTAAGACAAGGCTACTTTAGAACACATTTAACTCACTGAGACTTTTATAACCTTCAAACGCCTATTTTAGCCTAGCTAAACAGTTAACTTGAGATTCCAGAAACCAAATTTGAAACCTCTGAATGCAGAGATTTGCTGTGCTGTTAATCTATGCCCCTTTTTCATTAACTTCAATGTATATGTCATGTCAGGAACCTCCATATTCTGCAGAATGCTTTAATCTGTGTGAAACTAATAAGAACAACACATTCTGTTAAAATACACAGCCAAAGATAGGAAAGTAGACTTGTAATGCATTTAAATAGGATATATGTGGATGTCTCCACTAGGTCTATGCATGTTTGAGAAATGATTTGGAAGGGTTCCAAATGGTCCACATTAATGCAGTACTTCTGTGCTATTCATTAAAACAGACTGTGTGAGTCTGAAAAACGTTCATGGAGAAAATTTATCCATGAGGTTGCTAAGAGTTAAAAATGACTTGATGGCACCTAATCAATCTGAAAAAAGTTGTGTCTGCTTTGAGGAGCTGGCATCTTAAAATTAAAGTGACTCTTAAAGCAACCACTTTTATTCCAGATTTATGCAGGAGCTTGAAAAAAAGATGAAGTTTACTGAAAAAGCAGTGACATTGCTTGTGCTCTAACAAGGTCCAAGACACCCAAAAAATCATATGTGAAAGGGAGAGAATGAAAAGTTTGGTTGTAAAATGTTGAAAAACATGCAGTGGAGGATTTCTGTGACATGCAAGAATTCGTAAGTCCAAAACTAAGGGTACAGAAGTAATAAAAGGGGCTATATTAAAATACAACTGATTTTTCAGGATTCCCATGGTCATTTGATCAAGATTCAGATCACTTTCAATTCTTTTTTTTTTTTTTTGCTTGACTACCTTTTACTCTTTTTTAGAAATGTAATAAATGTAACAGAGATTCAGATGCTTCGTAGCCAGGAGGCATTTATGTGCCCCACAGCGTATCACAGTGGCCCAGTCATATAACCTCCATTTACATGCTTCCCAGCCGGCATCTAACAAGCAGAATAAACTGGTCAGAAAAAAAATAGCAAGTTAGGTCCTGCAATGTCTTGTTTAACGAATATGGGTGACTTGCTTAATGACCACTGTGGAATTGAGGTCATGGTCAAGTGATGCCTCACTTAACTATGTCAATTAGCGATGGAGTAGCCACTTAAGGACTCCCTGTACTCGAAGTAATGACACTTGTTAGGAATGTAAGCAGGGCTTGCCAGACAGGCTGTGATGGAATGTAGCAGACTGGATTTCCACAAGGAAGAAGGTATGTTCCAGAGACAGCTCAGTCCAGATAGTTGTGTGGGAGAGAAAAGAAGGTGAAGGCAGCCTCAGAGTATATGGTAGATACAGACAGGACAGTTCTTCACTTTGGAAAGATTCTGTCTACAACAGGGGTCTTCAAACTTGGCCCTTTTGACTTGTGGACTTCAACTCCCAGAATTCCTCAGCCAGCATGCCTGGCTGAGGAATTCTGTGAGTTGAAGTCCACAGGTCATAAAAGGGCCAAGTTTGAAGACCCCTGGTCTACAGGGTTTGGAACAATAAGGAACTCGGCCTGAAAGAAACACCACATGTCTTCTTGGACACAGGATAACTCTTACATTTTTGGCCAAGAGAAGCTGGCTTCCCTTGTCACACCATCAATACACATCTCTGCAAGGGAGAAAAACCCATCTCCTGGGTCATTTACAGAAAAGAAGAGAAGAAAATCTGATTGTTTCAAAACATCAGGAAGAAATGGTGAGCCGAGGCTGGGAAATAGATAATTGTTCCCCATCGCCTCTCATTAAAGTCTGGAATTTATAAGAAATTGTTAAAAATCCAGAAAGGAAACAGGAAATTTTTGCTTCAGAAACTCTGCTGTTTCTATGGAAAGAGATAAATGTATAGCCAGGAACTGCATTAACATTGTTGCTGCTGCTGCTGCTTATAAGTCCATTGTCTTTAGGAAATTGGACGTAAATTCAGCTTTTTTCCACTTTTCATGCTAAACATGAGGATATAATATAGTCCTTAATCTATTCTTATAATATGAATTGGAATCTAGGAAAGTCTCTTCTCTGAGGTCAAGAAGAGTGTTCATTTGTAGCAGACCAGTGCCATCACGCAAGCCCATATCTTTTATTTTGAAATTGTTCTAATTCATTTGAAACGCCTATTTTACCATGAATTGGAGAGCTCTGTAATTTATCTTCAGCACAGACCCAATAAAATGTGAGCAAAGACACCTTTCTTTTGGACACTTTTTATCTTGAATTATGCACTGATTCTTTCTTGTTGATTCTTGAGTTATACAAGAAGCCAGATATAAAATATTCCATTACAATTAATAAATATAACATAACAGTAATTACAAACCTTGCTGATAAATCATAGGGGTTGGAGACCGGTCATACAAGATACCTGCTCCACAGCAGTATTTCTTGTGTAAAGGAGTTCTTGATCCTTCTCAAATTTAGATCAATAAGCTATTAGAGAGAAATCTGTTTATATTAGGCTTCACCATATGACAACGTGGGCATTTTAATTATCCAGTTTCTCCATTTCTTAGGTCTGAAAGGCATGTTTTGTTGGGATGATGGTATCATCGTTAAATGGCCGCTGAATGCTACATGAAACAGCTGCACTGCAGAAAATAACTTACTGAGCCGGCAGCAAGGAAAAATGCTCAACAGAACCAAGTCACAGCCCTACAAGACATTTTTATGACAAGTGACCACTTGCAATGAGTATGAACACTCTCCTCCTTATATAAGAGGATGAGAGAAAATAAACTCATGACTTTCTGACACTTCTTTTAAGATATAGGGACTCACAAACTCTACTCTTGATAGGCAAAAACTCCCTAATAATTGCAGTAAGATAGTTGCTACCAGTGCAGCCAGGCATTTTCCTCCACAGTCACCAAGAAATTCAATCTTTTATATTTACTTGGTTGGCCAGAAAGCCAGGCAATGGCTCTATTTCTTCCTTCTCTCCTTATGGGGCCCAGAGTAATTTTTTTTAATTATAAGGACAGTTGAGAGGTTCCTGCCTGCCTGATAAGTTTGAGACTGAAAAGGGAGCAACCATTTCATATATCTTGTCTATGTTGCTTATAGGATGGATGGATGGATATTTGTGTGTATGTTTACATACACATATATATAAAGGGGAGAAGAGAGAAAGAGATATTATATATTATAGGGCAGTGGTGGCGAACCTACGGCACGTGTGCTAGAGACGGCACTCAGAGCCCTCTCCGTGGGCACGTGCGCCGTCGCCCCAGCCCCACCTCCAACGACCCCCTCCTCACCAGAAGCCCCCCCGGAGAGTCGCCCACGGTTCTGGCCCGTGAAGAGCACAGCCAAGGACATGGCAGCCGGGCAGCAGGTACAAGACTCCGCCCCTGCACCCCCATCTGCTGTGTGGCCGCCATGGTGCTGCAGGACTGCCTGGACGATCGGCCGCGGCAGGCCGTGGAGGTGGTAAGTGGCCTTGCGGGGGGCGGAGTGGGTGGGGCAGGAGGTGGGGTGGAGTAGGCGGGGCAGGGCAGAGTGGGCAGAGCAGGGGGCGGAGTGGTTTTGGACACTCGGTGTCTAAAAGGTTCACCATCACTGTTATAGGGCAAGCCTGGGAACTTAATTTCTGTATGCATCTTTATAAAAACTTCTCCAGACTTCTTACAGTGAAATGAAAGGTTGGGCTTGATAGCATAAAATAGATTAACACTTTAGTGTAGTGTAAGTTTCTTTGCTAAGCTTCTTGCCTTCTGTAACTATGCAGCTCCCCACAGCAGACATCTGTAGTGGTGCGAACAGAAGTTCTCACATTTCCAAATATTCAGGGTTCAAAAAGGTTTAGGGATCTCAGCTGTAGCTTCATGGAAGAAAAAGTTCACCTAATGGATTTTTGTTATCGTAGACTAACTACATCTGCTATCTAAATAAATAGCTTTGAAAACAATGTGCGATTTTACATTCCTTTGACTAAGGAATGCTTTAATTGAACATATGTTACATTTCACATTCCAAAAGAAAATCGGCTGAGTATCTTTACATTTTTTTGCTGGCGCCAAAAAAAACATTGCAGCGTATGAAAACATGTGCACCTGGCTGAGAATTTAGCTTTCATGATATGCTAAACTGATTAAATGGTAAACAATTTGCCTGAACACCATTCAGAGGTCTTGTGGGATGCATGTTGTGTCACAGTAATTTATAGCTTATTTATTAACAGAAAAAGGTGGAAAGGGAATAAAAAATGTTACGTGTTAGTAAACACAGCAATTTAACTTGGCTGATCAAATGTCAAGTTGAGATAGGGAAATCAAAGTTATTCACAAGAGAAATACTTTCCATATAGAAACAAATAGCTAGAAAGTATTTGATAAATGTTTAGAAGTTAAGAGCTGAATGAACAAACAAATGAAGGGATAAAGAGATTTTGGAAAATCTGATTTCACCAACATCTTAAAATCATTTTTTTAAGCATAACCCCAAAACAGCACAAGATAGATACACGTAAGCCTTGTTTCCAGTCTTCTAGTCATCTTTAACTTTTATTTTCAGAGGCAAATCAAACTCTCCAGTTTAATGTTTGATTCCTGAGATTCCTAAACACCAGTGAAAAGTATTTTTTAAACTTTGTTAAAAGTTAGTAACTGGTAATCAAAATGCTTTAGCTATTGACAAATTTCTAAAAGACCTCTGAATTTTTCAAAGTAAAGAAAATTCATTGGCGTTTGAGAAATATGCCTCTTTTTCTAGTTCTCCATGGCTGCCCTTTTTTTACTTGTGGCATTCGTGAAACGTGTTCCAAAGAGAGTGGAAGAGTCTGGCAAGTCTTTACACCGTGGGAAAGCCCTCCTTCTACGATGCAGTGCTATAAGTGAAAAAGTATCTGATTGGAGATAGGACTGAGCCACAGCAGATTGTTCAAACATTTTCGCTATTAACATGAATTAAAATAAAGTATCAATCAATTTAAAGGCTGTATTCTCAGTATTATGATGAAGCCAATCATTATGTCGGTGAATGTGTAGCTGTGTTTGTGTGTGCATTTATTTTCCTGAACAAATTAACTCTGTTTCAGAAAACCACCTCAGAAAACAAATGTGAAACAAGAACACCTACACCAGCTTATTTCAAGTAAATTAAGCTGTAGATATTAATGAAAATAACGTCAAACTGTAAACAGCAGAAGATGGGATGTGAAGACAAACATCTCATTTTAGGCAGCTCTCCACAGCTGTCACAACTTCTTGCAAAATGTCATCTCGATTCTCCCTCGTAATCTAAAATTTAAAAAGAACAGAATACACATAAAATATGGAATATCAGTTTTCACTTATTTAAAGTAGCCAAAATGCAAAGTGGAAATATTTATGAAGACTTTTTATATGTCCCTAATTAGAACAAGAACAAACTAAGAATTGTCCCGTTATCAGCTGGTTGCTATTGTTTTTAATTATAAGAATTCCTTTGTTACCATGTTAGGATGGAATAGTCTTTTGGATTCTGACTTTTTCCTTACAATTACTTGCTTTCTACTGATAAAGAACCCATGCAGGTTAAGTAGGTTGCACATAGTACTGCAGATGTGAAAGTACACAGACATGCAGGGGAATAGATGGCATATCATTAAAATAGAAAAAGTATACAAGATTTATATACTGGATGTCATGCCTTTATTATAAAAGTAGGGCTCTGAAAAGAACTTGTCCCCCGAAAATTTTCTCCGAAGTGTGAAACAATTTGTAGCCACGATATTTAGATACACTGACAGTAATAAGGGCCAGTATTCCAAGAATGCTGGAGCTAAGTTAGCAGGAGTTAAATTAGACAAATGGGGGAGGAAACATCGAGATGGGCGAGGGACTCAGTCTTTGGACTCACTCAGGTCATTGTTTTTGTGGGGTATTTAAAAAAAAAGGACTGAAGTGGGAAAAAAGAAATGGGACTTTAAATCTATAGTCCTTGAAGCTTGTATCAAAATAAATTGACCTAGATGAATCAAGAATATCTTGGGCATTTTCCTGCATTGATTTTATGTCTGGTTTCTCTGGTTTGATGAGATTTCATTTAAAAGGATGCAACATTTTGTTCTAGGAGCTAGAAAAAAAGAAACATGAGACTGACTTAAGTTGATGACCAAGAATGAAAATGGCTCTCAACACAAAACAGCACTATGAAATAATAATATAATCAAAAGTTATAAAATAGAACATGCCATCAAAACCTAACAACTTCAGCTGCTAGGGCCTGGCGCTGGCTCCCAATAGCATTTTCTCCCCTATCCCTTGGGAAAAGATTGAAAAAAAGAGGTAAAAGGGTGTATTCTTTACTTTGACTATTTCAAAAATAATTTGTAGTTAAGTGCCTTGGACAGTGAAAAGCAAGGCCCTAGCACCCTTCTGCATGATCCTGAAAACAGGTATCACTATGAAAGTAAAGTTAAATATTCAACCGAAGACTTGCGCCTGGGGAATACAAGGTGTTGTTACTTTAATGAACAGCAGGGAGGCACTATAAACTTGTTCAACCCAAGCCATGTCTTCTGAACCATTTTCAAAGCACACACAGGCTTTTTCATTACACTTCTCTTTTCCTCCAACAGGGAAGGTTTCAATAATAATAATAATAATAATAATAATAACAACAACAACAACAACAACAACAATAGCAACAACTTTATTGTCACTTTGAATGTACACCAATCGGCATACATCAAAATGAAATTTTGTTGCATATAGCTCTCAATAACCAGCACTCCAGTGCTGCAGGCAGCAAAGAGATTCTCCAGGGCACACTTGGAGTCATATGCAAGCTTTGGCAATAATTCATTACCTATGGAACTTAGTTAAAAGTTCACAAGAATAAGCAATGTTACTAAATATTAAATTCACTGCCTTTACCTCAGGTTCAGTGCAGATAAATGTGAGGCAAGACAACTTTATTTCTGTCAAAATCACTGGAATAGCCACTGAAGTTGTGTTTTGTATTTTCCAGATATTTGGGATCTAACATATGCTTTTAATGCTGTAACTGAATTTCCAATGTTAGTAGTATTAATATTGCAAGTAGCAGGTATAACACAATGACCTATACACGAATGAAACCCATTATTAGCACTAGGCTTTAGCATTACTACTGTTAAAGAGTATTAGTGATAATGGAATGCTTATAATATTTTTTTCCATGTTCTCTATAATGCATTTGTTATCCCTCTCCTCAGCTTGTCACAATACACATTAGGTAAATCTCTTGACTACTGCTGTTTATCTGGGAAATTTATGAAGTCACATTTTACAGTCCCACATTTAGAAGCATCTCACAGAGAAAAATTGCGTTTAGACTTTTGAAAATGGATTGGCATATAAGCTCAATGAATGGATCTATTTACAGCCATTTAAAATAAACATTTTGACTTCTTTATATGTTATATGTAAAGGGGAAGTGAATGGGATATACTTTAAGCTTCATAGCTGAGGACGGGTACAGCTGAAGCCCAAGCATAAGAGCTAAAAGAAATCCACCACAGAATCAACTTTATTTCCAGTAGAAGTGAGCACCTGTTTTTTCCAAAGGGAATTGTTCCAAACAAATGCTAAATAAGATGTCAGACCATTGCATGCCAATAAAAACAGACTTTCTCAGTGGATCTGTCTGTGACTTACACTGAAGAGTTTCACCTCTTTTCTATTTCTGATCTCTTCCACAAGTCTCAAAGGCTTTCCTTTAGGCACTGGGATTGTTCCAAGTATCACAGTCCCGGATCCATTCAAAATTTGTTGGACAGCTTGAATAAATGTCTGGCTGAAGAGCTCCATTTTACCAATCTCATCAATTATGCATACCTTTTTCATTGCACTGCTGTCAAAATCCGCCTATGAGGAAGATATGTATAGTATAAAAACACTTAGTGGCAAAATGCAAAATATTTTTACATGACTTAAATCAAAGTTTATATGATTTTAGTATCGCCTGTTTTTAGTATCGCCTGTTCACCGCCCTGAGTCCCGCAAGGGAGATAGGGCGGTATATAAATTTAATAAATAAATAAAATAAATAAATAAATCTGATGCCTCCTGATCTTTGGGCTCCAACTCAGAGGCAGCAGGGCAAAACAGAAAGTTTTCAGTGAGAGCTGCAGGACAAAACATCAGGTCATCCACTCTGACCTCTAGAGGAACAATAATTCAAGATAACTGTTTCTTACAAAAACATTTTACACTATAGTCATACACTGTGAAAGACCATCAGCCCAATAAAAGGGCTGTATAATGACCAAGTTCCATATTCAAAATTTACACTTGCCTCTGTGTCTAGTGCAGGGGTAGGCAACCTTGGCTCTTTTATGACTCGTGGACTTCAACTCCCAGAATTCCTGAGCCAGCCACGAGTCATAAAAGAGCCAAGGTTGCCTACCCCTGGTCTAGGGTGTGTATGAGGGGCTCTTTGTATGTTACAGAACCACACTCCCTGCTGTTCTACTTATTATGCACATTAGTAAGCAATTTTTGGAGCGGTTGTTCTTCAACATCTGGAGACCACAGGTTCCTCACTCCTATCTCAGTAAGTGTCTATTATTTTTTTAAAAAAATGAAAACATAGAATTATAGGGTTGGAAGGGACTTTGGAGGTCTTCTAGTTCAACCCCCTGCTCAAGGTAGGAGGCCTTATACCATCTCGGTCAAATGGTTGTCCAGTTCTATTTTTGAAAGCCTCAGTGATGGTGTATTCACAATTTCGGAGGCAAGCTAGTCCACTAGTTGTTCTCACTCTCAGAAAAATTCTCCTTATTTCTAGGTTGGATCTCTCTTTCACAAGCTTCCATCCATCACTTCTCGTCCTACCCTCTGGTGCTTTGGAGAATAGGTTGTCCCCTTCTTCTCTGTGACAGCCCCTCCTCAAGTATTGGAAGACAATTATCATGTCCCCCTAATCCTTTTAGGCAAAAACGAATGGAAAATCAATTGGTTTTATCCCCTGCTGAATTGTTCCCCTCTATGTATATCCCTCTCTACATGTAAAGCCAAAGTTAATGAAGGAATGCAAGAACTATTAACACAACTGATAAAAGATACGAAAAGAGAATGTAAACAATAATATAAGCCTGAAAAAGGAGGAAGCATGAGAAAAAGGCTCAAAGTAATCTGGCTTTGATTCTGGTATAAGCGGAGGGAAATTTTACCAGGCTTTCTTAATTCTGTTATTTTTCCCCACAACAACAGAGTTTCAGCAGTTCCTGTGGTGTCTTTTTTGAACTGACTTGCCTTGAAGGGCTGACATTTTAAGACAAATCTACCTCATTCTGAGTGACCTCATGAACATAACCTTGTGTTTTTCTTTGCAACAAGATAGAAGAAGTTTGTCACTGCCACATTCTGGGACTTTTTTCAACTTCTCCATTTAGGTCATTTCTGTAGAACTTTTCTTAGAGTTTCCCACCCAAATATGAACCAAAACCAATGCAGTTTTGCTTTTCAAATACAGCCAAAATTATCAAAGTGTTACCAAGCTGGATTCAATTTCTTATATATTATCAAGAGATGTCGCAACTGAGGTTCAAATAATTTGGAGGTAGTCTGACTACATTTAAAGGCTTAAGATACAGGAGGACCTGGACAGACTTGAACACTGGGCGCTATCTAACAAAATGAAATTCAATGGTGAAAAAAGTAAGGTTCTACATTTAGGCAAGAAAAACCAAATGTACAGGTATAGTATAGAGGGTACCTTGCTCAATAGTAGTAACTGTGAGAGGGATCTTGGAGTCCTAGTGGACAATCACTTAAATATGAGCCACCAGTGTGCTGCAGCTGCCAAAAAAGCCAACACAGTGCTAGGCTGCATTAACAGAGGGATAGAATCAAGATCACGTGAAATATTAATACCACTTTACAATGCCTTGGTAAGGCCACACTTGGAATACTGCATCCAGTTTTGGTCACCACGATGTAAAAAAGATGCTGAGACTCTAGAAAGAGTACAGAGAAGAGCAACGAAGATGATTAGGGGACTGGAGGCTAAAACATATAAGGAACGGTTGCTAGAATTGGGTATGTCTAGTTTAACGAAGAGAAGGACGAGGGGGGACATGATAGCAGTGTTCCAATATCTCAGGGGCTGCCACAAAGAAGAGGGAGTCAAGCTATTCTCCAAGGCGCCTGAAGGCAGGACGAGAAGCAATGGATGGAAACTG